CAGCTATGTCGGTTCTACACTACAATTTCGGTTAGTTCTATAGTGAACAGAAAAAATATCTATATAAAGTTATTTTCCAAAGCTCACTGTCCATAAAAATGTTTGGCTCATAGCTTAATTGCTTTAGGCTATCATTTATGTAGATTAAAAATGATCTGTAGTAACAAATTGCATTAGTTGGCCATCGATTTTTGAGTATTTCACCCCTAATGGTTTGTAGATCGTTAATCACTCATTAATCATTAACTTATTACAGATAATAATAGGAACAATAGATTGATTTCGATTATGATAAAATTTTAAAGAAGAAATAGAATTTCAACTCCAAAATATTAATTACTAATTGACTCGTGAGAATATATTATACAATATTGATATTTATTCCTACACGCAAAAAATTTTTTGTTACAGCAACAAAAAATAAGTTTTCTGCCCTCCGGCCGGAAAGTGGCAACTTTCTGGCCGCTGCGCTAAACAAAGTTGCCACATTCCGGCTACGTCGAGCAGAAAAATAGTATACACACCTTGGCCAGTAAAAAGTAAAGCCTCAGACCACATGTTTGTCAACCTCGGCTTCGCCTCGGCCAACAATTACATGTGGTCTGAGACTTTTCTTATTTTACTGGCCTAGGTATGTAATATACTATGTGACAACAAATTGTTATGTTGATATAGGGATAACAAATAATATGTTGTGTTAACAAACACATAGGTTATAATAAGTAATTCATATGTTCACTCAACAAAATTATTTTGTTATTGTAACCGAATCTTTCAATTATTTTAAAAAAATAGTTTTGTTGAAGTAACAAATCGATTTGTTAAAGCAACGGAATAGCTTGTTCAAATCATAAATTTTATTGATAAGAAAACTATTTTGTTATTGCAACAAAAAAATTTATTATAGTAACAAAGCGATTTTGTTAAGACAACAAAATTAACTTCAGAGCAGTAAAAACTCATTTGTTATTGCAACTCAGTTGATTTTGTTAAATAAACTAGTTGATTTGTTATTGAAAGTAAATTTATCCCTGTTTTTGTTGTCCTAACAAATAATTTTTATGCGTGATACTGTTAAGTATAAAATATCTTTTATTAACAAGTATTTGCTGTTACTTATTTTTTATTTTGATGTCATAATATGACTATTCGCTTTTTAATTGCGACATGTGCAAAATATTACATTGTTTACGTTAATTAATTACATTTATTTATTTATGTACGAACTAAGTGGATGAGGCTTTCGGTACTCGTGAGTTGGCACACTCACTTTGCTCGTTGAGCCAACATCACTCATCCACTTAGTATCATAATAAATTATTAAGTTTGGTTGTAAATAACAATTTATAACACATTTCTAACGAATTCGTCGATTTTATTCAATTGATTTACGTGACATATTACACTTTCGTATAAAATGTAAATAATACAAAACCTGTCATGTTAAGTAAACAGACTGTTGATATATATATATAGCGCTACATTCTTTAATTAAAAATTTTTTTTTATTAATTTTCTTAACAATGATTTGTTTTCAATTTTTTGCATTTTTTCGTCTATAGAGGAAAAAATAAGACTTATTTAATTTTAAAGATTGATAAATAATTAAAAGATCTAATCGTAAAACAAAAAAACACCTTCGTAAATTAGCAATACATAATTACTTAATTCATAATTTGTTATCCTGTGACTACACCCATAATTAATCTTCTGATAATTAGGTTATCAAATCAAAATCTAAATTAACTTTTTCACGAAATAAGATCATTTATTTTTAAATATTACTAAAAATTTGAACAGGGCGCTACGCGTGCGCTTTAATTTTTACCAATAAAGAATCGTGTCCCGCTTTTTAATTAAAATTAGTAATTAAGAGAAAATCGCAACAGAGAGTGAGTGTCATTTACATGTTCAGAGCGGATATAACTCGTCAATTATTTGATGGCCTACAAAAGTTCTATTTGTGTGGTGGTGTGTAAAGCTTAAATTAATGATGCTTCTCATCCAGGGGTAAGCATTAGGGTGCTTCATTTTTAGGCGATATTTTTTTTTCTCTGTGCTACCTGAAAATCTGATACTTTATAAAAAATAAAAAATTATGCCGCCGAGTAAAAGGCTTTAAGTGCAATAGCGGCTTAGCTCATTTAAAAATTCAATTTCCTATTTAAATAACATAGAAAAAATTTTTTTTCCGGTTTCAACTTGATTTTTCGACGTGAAAAAAATTTTTTTGTAAAAAACGCATGTATAGCTTTTGTAGAGCATAAAATTTGCTACAAAAAGTTCCTCTATGTAAATCCCCCCCGACCAACAGCTTTTGAGTTATACAGTTGCGAAGATGAATGTTTATTATATTTCACAACAAATTATTTCTAAATCAAGATTTATTATTAAAGTGTGCGCACTCAGGTCAGCGATTTTGATGCCGATTTTTTCCTCAAAAGTACACCTTAAAAGAAGACGATCCTGAAAATTTGGACCCGATATAATCAAATTCGACCGCTGGAGAATTTTTTGAATTTTTAAAAAAGTCGATTTTTCACTGATTTTTCAATAATTGTAATATAAGAACGATAGCGCTTTTGAGGGTAAATGTCTACTTAAGACGCTACTCTAATCATTACTGACAGTAGTTATATCTATGTACTGAGTATATTAATATTTCACTTGTTAATAAGATATGAATAATTCGATAGATATGCAAGAAATTATCAGCAAATATTATATTCAACAACGCAATTTTGGCAATATTAAAAAATTCATAACTTGAATACAAGCTCGATTTCCTAGTCCAAATTTTCAGGGCTTTTTAGGAACATAATAAAGCAACTTTCCTGAAAGTTTGAAGGAAATCGAAGTTCCGAGAAAAAAAGTTCTAGCCATCTGTAAACTGCGATTTTTTAAAATTTGATTGGTTTCAGATGGCTATAACTTTACTTAATAGAAGCAATCAATAAAAAATTGAATAGATTCTACAAAAGTATACCCCAATAGAAGACATTAGCTGCTGGTCGATCCTCAACTTCAAACACTGTACATATACTAGTGTTTTACAAATGGGTAGAATTTAATCAAAACAGTTCGTTAGTTAGAGGCTGTCAGCTAAGGCCTATATGAGTTTAGACCAAATACTCATTTTTCTCTTAAAAGTAGAGAGTCTACTGAAAAAAATGCCGCTGGGCAGAAGTCTTTAAATTATATAGATGCTGAGATACAAATATTCAAAAATCAGTGAAAAATCGACTTTTTTAAAAATTCAAAAAATTCTCTAGCGGCCGAATTTGATTATATCGGGTCCAAATTTTCAGGATCGTCTTCTTTCTAGGTGTAATTTTGAGGAAAAAATCGGCATCAAAATTGCTATAAATAATGTTGTGTATAAATATATTATTAGGGTAATATTTATCTAGGGTATTTTTTAATGTTTTATCACGATAAATGTCTCAATCTTTTCTATTTTCACAAAAAATCATGTATTAAATGTTACTAGATTTCTATCGTCTTCGAAAGATTCAGAAACAGCTCGTTTTGTCCAGGAATTTCCATAAATTTTGTACATTTACCGAGTGTCAGATCAATACGAGATACCTCGGCACAATGACCTTTGGAGGAAGCTATTTCTGAGACATGTATGTTTGTATATAGATGAGGGATTTTGGTAGACTTGAATTGAGAAGGAGTCTCGTTCGAGCAGCCAAGCTGTGAAGTCGAGTCGAGTTGAAGTGAGGAGTTTTAAGATTTCGGAGGTCGGTAATAGAGAAAAATTGAAGTGTGAACAGTGTACTCATCCTTAATTCTGAGAAGATCAACTTCTACAATGGGCGAAAGCCCGGCTACAGCAAACTTAGCCCAGGACAACTGGCAAAAAGTCAAATCCAAGAAGCGGAAATATGAATATGAATCACCAAACATCAACAACGTAATAGACAGCGAGGCAGAGGAAGAAAGCAGCACCAAAGAAGATACACAGAACACAAGGCTATGTAAGCCACCACCAATAGTAATAAATACACCAGTGATAGATATTGTTAAAGTTACAACTGAAATTAAAAAGTCATGTAAAGATCGCGTCTGTTTTAAGACCAGTAATATCAACTTCATTATTTACACCATGAATGAACAAGACTTTAATAACGTAATAGCACTACTAAAAGAACTCGGAGTGGAACATCATTCGTACGCCAAGAAAAACGAGAAAAGAAGACATATAGTACTAAAAAATCTGCCATGTGCTACACCTGAAGTAATAATACACGAACTAGCAAGTGAACACAATATCAACGTCACAAAATGTGTCGAAATGAAGCGCAAACAATCTACAGAAGAAAAAGACAACCAGTCCACACCTATCTACTTTATATCTCTCACAAACTCCGATCAAATTGGCGTAGTCAAACGCATCAAGTTTCTATGTTCATTCAAGGTCAAATGGGAAGATTATAAAAATTCAAGGCGCGTCACTCAATGCTTCAGGTGCCAAAGATTTGGTCATGGGATGAGTCACTGCTCCAACGCACCAAGGTGCGCAAACTGCCAGGGCGATCACCCATCCAATTACAAGGGATGTCCGACCTACGTAAAACACATACAAAATATCGACGAAAAACATAACAAGGCGCGCAAAGTACACCACATAGCCCCGCCAAGGACAGATTCAACTCAATATCCACCACTAAGGTCAAGGAAACCACAAAACAATGGGTCATCGACGCCCTCTCCAAAGTCTTCACATCCTACATCCAACTACGCAGAAGCTATGGCCTCATCACTGGAGACACATACACCATCAAAAAATAACAACGGTATCATACATCATTACAACACTAGCTCAAATGCGAGTCTCGTATATAAATTTAACAATTTAATATCAGAAATTCAAAAATTGAATTCCATTTGCAACTTAGATAAACTCTTAGAACTTGCAAGAGACTTAAACCACAAATTGAGCTCGTGTAGTAACGATGTAGAAAAAATCACAGTAATAAGTAATTGTATTAACAATGGCTGAGTCAAGTCATAAAACCTTAAATATAGTCCATTGGAATGCTAACGGGATTCGTGATAAAATACCTGAACTGACCGACTTTGTGACAAGGTATAACGTAGACATCTTACTCATAAACGAAACAAAGCTCATTAAAAGTGATAAATGTTTTATAAATAACTTTAATTGCTATTGCAAGGACAGAGAAAGCAAAAACCGAGGAGGAGGGGTAGCTATATTTATCAAAATTGGCATTAGTCATACTGAACAACCTATAGAAACCAATGATTTAGAATCGCATGCTATCAGATTAAGCGATGATACACTTATTGTCAGTTGTTATGATCCTCCCCAAGTAAAATTAAATACAAGCGACTTAGACAAAATATTAAACGCAAACAACAAAGTCATAGCTATAGGAGATTTTAACTCCAAGCACACAATGGCACTGTAAACAAATTAATGCCAATGGTCGTACTCTTTACAACTATATGCTTAAGCATCCCATCGTTATAGAGTTTACAGATAACTATACACTTTACCCATACAATGGAACCCTTCCCTCTAATGTAGATATAATCATTAATAAAAATATACAAACAATCACGAAGCCCGTTGCACTAAATGAACTCGACTCAGACCATTCACCAGTTCTGGTCACATTAAATGATAAAACAATAAAACGCAATCACTCAAAATACTTAGATTATAAAAATGCGAACTGGACCAGATTTCGAAGCCTTATTAACAAAAATATAGAGATTAACAACAAATTGGAATCACCATTAGATGTTGACAAAACCGTAAAAGATTTAACAAAAACGATTCAGCATTCAATTAAAAATTCTATTCGTAGCAAATGTTTTAAAAGTAAAGCAAATCCACTCCCACGGCATATAATTGATTTAATAAATCTAAGAAACCACGTTAGACGCAAATTTCAGCATACTCGTAACATACAATTTAAATCTCTAAAACATCATTACTGTCGCTTAATAAAAGCAGAAATTAACAAGTTTAACAACGAAAAAATTAAAAATCAGCTAAAATCACTAAAAATTAAAGACAATACACTATGGAATGCGGTTAAAATGCGCCAAAATACAAATTCTAAAATCCCTACACTACATGGCGAATATGGTCTAGTCTATAATAACTGTGATAAAGCTAATGCGCTAGCCGATGTATTTGAAAAAGTACACAATCTAACTGTAGACCTTAGTGACGACTTAACTGAAAAAATTGTAAGACATCATTATCGAGAGATAGGTGATACAATACTAGAAACCAACGAACGGCCTCATATATCATCTACCGAAATATATAAAGCCATAGCTCAAACTAAAAATAAAAAAGCCCCAGGATATGATGGCTTACAAAACGTAATTCTGAAGAACCTTCCAAAAAAAGCAATAGCACAGTTAGTTTACATATTTAATGCATCCATTATATTCTCTTATTTTCCAGATCCATGGAAAGAAGCAAAAATTTTAGCCTTCCATAAACCAGGAAAAGATATCTTCGCAGACGACACAGCAATTTATACATCGTCATTTAGCAAAGACATGGCCCTAAAATACTTGCAATCTCATATCCACCTACTCGAAAGCTATTATCAAAAATGGAAAATAAAAATTAACATAGACAAAACACAAATCATAATTTTTTCACATAATCATAAAGCTACAAGAACGCAAGTCCAAATGTATGGCAAACAACTAAAACAAGCCAAAGATGCTAAATACCTGGAGCTCACCTTAGACACCAAACTCGCTTATACAAATCATATCAAAACAGTAGCTAAGAAGGCAAACTCAGCGGTATTTATATTGTATCCACTTATCTGCCGAAATAGTCACCTAAGTCTAAACAATAAATTAACCATTTATAAAATGTGTATCCTACCAATCATGCTATACGCTTGTCCAGTTTGGAGCAACACTTGCTTCTCAAACTACCATAGACTCCAATTAATACAAAATAAAACATTACGAATGATTTATAACTCCGACTATAATATCAATAATAACAAACTACACACTAATCTAAATATAAAACATATCAATGAAATAGTAAAAATACATTCTCTCAAATTCTATAAAGAAAAACTAAACCTAAATATACTGTCAAATGTTTGCAAACTAACGAAATTTAATCCATACTGTAAATATAAGCTACCACAACACATCATTATGTATCATACGTAAAGACTAACAATTCTACTTTTTAAACTTTTTCCTAAATCAACAGAATTCTTACTGGGTTTTTTCCATCCGCTTTTTCCCAAAACTGACTAATAAATATGTAATACCCTATACTCAAGTCACTCAAATATAAATGGCTCAAAATTGTGTAAGCCCAAGGGCAGGGAACAAATTGTAAAAATAATGTATAGATATACTGTGATATTTATTATGTATATAACAAATTTTATCAATAAAGATCTTATAAAACAGAGACTTGAATTGACAACGCGGATCTAAGGTTATGACACATTCATTATGAGGTCGAATACTCGATATTCCTGCATGTTTAAGCGTTAGAAGTTTAAAATCTTATGATAGTCGTTTCGAAAAATATAAGAACAATAGATGATTGGTGGTATAAAATCTACTATAAAAAAACTACTTGGTTCAAGAAAAATAATTTCTTAAAAATTCCACTCTTGTTTTGAAATATCCAGTTCTCTTAACCCTGATTAGAGAAAGGGATTTAAATGGATTTGATTTAAATACTGTACAGACATTTTGCATTATGGTAATCTTTTCAAATCTCTTTTTATATTTTTTAATAAAGTAATTCGAGAAATTCGACAAGAATTCAAATCTTCAGTAAAAAAGCGCCATTCGGCCATACCCGACATGGATAGGTAGATTTCTCGTTTGAATATTAAAAAAAACACGTTATTAAAAGGCAATAATGTCCTAGAAAGTATTTTTTATCATAATTTTGCAAATAACGATATGAGACCGACTACAATAAATAGATATTTAAAGACATCTACCTAAAAAAATAGGATTTGTAACAAATGAAAGTTATTTGATAATAAAAGTTAAAAATTCATTTATTCTAGATTTTTTTTAATTTTCCCAACTACGAAATAAATTGAAAAATGGATCAAAAGGCGACGAATAATAGCTCAAATTAAAGATAATTATGTAAATTTTAACATAAATTTAATACATTCAAGCTATCTTTTACGACCTAATAATTATTTGAAAAGAAGGGCCGAAATCGCATCAATGCATATCTTACTAAAAATAATATTTTAATCCAAGAACAGTTTGGTTTTAGACCAAAACACTTTACAACTCAGCAGTTAGTTAGGCTAACTGACTATATTAGTACAGAATTCAATAAAAATAGAAGCACAGCATTACAACTGCTAGATATCGAAAAAGCTTTCGACACCGTGTGGCGTAAATCTCTTATCTATAAACTAAATCTATTAAATATACCAATATACATTGTAAAATGGATTGATAGTTATCTTAAAAATCGAAGATTCTCCGTTGCGATAGGAGACGATCGCAGCTCCACGAGAAATATAACCGCAGGAGTCCCACAAGGCTCCATATTAGGACCCAACCTATTCCTCATCTTTATTAACGATATCCCTAAACACCCAAAAACAAACTTAGCTCTCTTCGCAGACGACACAGCAATTTATACATCGTCATTTAGCAAAGACATGGCCCTAAAATACTTGCAATCTCATATCCACCTACTCGAAAGCTATTATCAAAAATGGAAAATAAAAATTAACATAGACAAAACACAAATCATAATTTTTTCACATAATCATAAAGCTACAAGAACGCAAGTCCAAATGTATGGCGAACAACTAAAACAAGCCAAAGATGCTAAATACCTGGGGCTCACCTTAGACACCAAACTCACTTATACAAATCATATCAAAACAGTAGCTAAGAAGGCAAACTCAGCGGTATCTATATTGTATCCACTTATCTGCCGAAATAGTCACCTAAGTCTAAACAATAAATTAACCATTTATAAAATGTGTATCCTACCAATCATGCTATACGCTTGTCCAGTTTGGAGCAACACTTGCTTCTCAAACTACCATAGACTCCAATTAATACAAAATAAAACATTACGAATGATTTATAACTCCGACTATAATATCAATAATAACAAACTACACACTAATCTAAATATAAAACATATCAATGAAATAGTAAAAATACATTCTCTCAAATTCTATAAAGAAAAACTAAACCTAAATATACTGTCAAATGTTTGCAAACTAACGAAATTTAATCCATACTGTAAATATAAGCTACCACAACACATCATTATGTATCATACGTAAAGACTAACAATTCTACTTTTTAAACTTTTCCCTAAATCAACAGAATTCTTACTGGGTTTTTTTCATCCGCTTTTTCCCAAAACTGACTAATAAATATATAATATTCAAATATAAATGGCTCAAAATTGTGTAAGCCCAAGGGCAGGGAACAAATTGTAAAAATAATGTATAGATATACTGTGTTATTTATTATGTATATAACAAATTTTATCAATAAATCCCGAGTCAAAATTTAAGTCGTAGATTCAACGTATTGAACGTTGAAAACGTAAGTTCAACGTATTGGACGTTGAAATCGTAATTTGAACGTATTGAACGTAAAAAA